TGGTGCGCAATTTCATGTTGCCAACATGCAAAAGCACCCTTGGTAATATAAAGTATATTCACGACGGCGATCCGCTTCTTTCATGAGAATCTCGCGGTGTTGCTTATGGTGCAAAAAAACTAAATACAATTTTAAAAAATACAGTCGTGCATGTGCCGCCTCAAAACCTTGTTTCTCGATGAGTACACCAAAAGTGGCAGTTTTTCCATTACAGCAAGTTGACTATAGGTGCGAGCGTCAATCGCCTGCTTTGTGGATGTGAGTCACAGACTGTAATTTGTTTGGGATTGTCCGATCGTATTCGGCCAGGTTGCTCGGGGTGCCGCAGCCTTAAGATGAGTCGCCTGTCGTCCTGTGAACGTGTGAAAAAGTTAATCCTCCAAAATGAGCTTATCTGTCTGCTCTAATGACCTGCATGGGACCACATGCTGAGCCGTTAATAGTCTTAACTCAGCCACCGTAGTTCGTTTGTGCATAAACTCTTAAATATTCCTCATAGTGGCCCCCAAGTTTGATAGATGAACGTAGGTGTCCACTTTTTAGTACAGGCGCAATCGTTCACAAACACACGTAAAGCCAATTTGAAGCCTATTCGCTAATCAAAACAGCAGAACCTACGTAGGCGCATCATGAGTCTCTCTGATGAAGTAAAGTGTAAAGTCTTAATGAGTTTCCCGTGCAGGGCCATGAGAGTTAATCCCTTTTGAAGTCGGTTGCTAACCAAAACAGTAGCACTCTCTTAGATGAGTCCAAACAAGTTTTCTGGGAGGTATTGGAAAGAAAGCAGTCACTTCCTCGACTCTATTTTCCACACATTTCAAAAGTTAACTGCTGAGCCCATTCTGGTTCTGTTGCGAACCCAAACAACAGCATATAAAAAGTGTCTTCGATGAATCACACATTTTTACTCCCTCCATTACGTGCTGTTATTTCATTTTGTGTAAAAGTAATTTTAAAATAAACCCAATTTAGATGTGACTCCGCCATTCCAGTCTCCACCTCGGACGTTGGGAGTGTTTAGGGATTCTGATATGTTTTTTTGGCACGCTTTTGACCATTAAAAAGTTATGTATACAAGTCGTAATCTTTGTCATGTATAAACTGTTTGACATCAATTAAATGGCTGTAAACAAAAGAAATATGCCATCTGTGCCTTATGAAAAGACTTTCCTGAGACAAACACAAAAAAAAGTTGTTTGCGAGGTGCTAATGCACAGCAATTCGATCTCTTGTCAACTTCAGCTAAATCCAGCTACTAAATCCTTAATCGGAACTAATTCAGATTTAAATCCCCATGTAAACGGCTGCATGTGCTGATGCTGCATGCTTGTCTCCAGGACGATTGTATTATTATAAAAGTGTTTTTCCTGTGAGAGATGCTGCTGGGCAAGGCGCGGCCGTGATTGTGTTTGGCAACTGTGTAATGTCACTGCAAGATTGCGTCTGCGAGAGAAAGTCTCAGAAGGCTTTACATGCCCCAAACTACAGCAGATGTTCTTCTCCTCAGGGGTGTTTAGAAAGCTTCATGCGGAGTGTGATGAAGTGCAGTCACCTCCTGTGTTGTCATAATGATTATTCCCAAATGTGATGACAAGAACCTTAGTTGAAAATGAAATAACCGGCAGGTCATGGCGTGTTGGTTCAATGTTACGTTTTGGAATTTGTGGCTCACGATTGACTTTCGGGGAAAAACACGGGGTGGAGTTCGCCTACAGATATACATCCATTCATTCTCGACAGCACTGTTCATCATGGGAGTTGCGGCTAAACTGGAACGTATAACAGGCCGCTCAGATAACGTAATACGAACGCTTAATTTTGATTGACACCGATGGATGATTGTGGTTGCAGTTTACAGTGGTCTCGCCCTGTTTAGCAGAAAATTATCCAATTTCTCGCATCTGTTGGGGAAAACTATTTAATGACTACAAATGATCTAAATTCGATCATCTATCGATGCCAGCGACGTACAGTGACAGCAGAACAATGAAATGCTTTTCCTCTATATGGCAGGAGGTACATAAGTGACCTATTAACATCCGGTTCTTCTCACGTGGAATAAACTATGTGCCTTACCTTGGTTCAGTAAAGGTTGGTAAACACAATTAGACTGTGCAGGCGTACCTAATAATGTGGCCAGTACATAAGAGTGATATTGAGTGCCCCCTAGTCCTCTTCATTGGGACAGCCTGTACTTTGTGATTGAGCGACATAACTGCGGTCATGAGAGGAAAAAAACCTCCTGAATGGAGTTACTGTTGCCATGTCAAGTCATCCACAGGTGTGTGTGTGTGTGTGTGTGTGTGTGTGTGTGTGTGTGTGTGTGTGTGTGTGTGTGTGTGAGATACACACACAAAAGATGTTTTTGTCGTAACTGTGTTATTTGCGCCTACACGCTCATAAAATGTATTCATGACATGAACATCTTTATCTTCTTTTCATGCGCTCTAGCTGAATGCGGCACATGCATGCAGGCCTTTTCCTGTTTGCGCTTTGAATTTGAAGGAACATCGTGAATTCCTGGGAAAGGAAGGACCCTCCCGTTCTCCCCCGCCCTCCCTCCCCCAAACTTGATCTTTCATGTCGTAGCATGACCAAAGTACGTTATGCACTCCAAAGTGTGAGAAATGTGATTTTTAGGTTACTTTAAAAACAAATAAAGGCCCTTTCTAGGTTTTAAAAGTTCTTTTTAAATGATGGTTTGACTTCAAGGACTCTGCTGAAAGTCAAACTGTAACTGACTTTACTTTTCAGCTGTTGACTATGATTAAATCATTAGTTTGTTCATCTGCGTGGTATTCATGTCCCTGCAATGATGATAATGATTCAATCGCAGTTTGAAAGGGTGTGTTGGAGATAATTACCCACACACACCTTGTTGGACATGTTTTGACCCACTCAAGCTCTCACTTGCTAGGAATGACTGCGTCCCCTGAGGGGCAACAACAACAAAAAAAAGAATTGGGGATATGTAGGTTGGATCGGCACAATCAAGGTTACTGTTATGATAAAGAATGACAACACGCCATCCCTGGCAACCCTTTAACGAGGTGTTTTGTTCCCTGGCCAACCCACTGGAAAATTTCTGGCTACGCCCCCTGGACAGATGGTATGTTTAATGACTATGACTGTGTATGATAAATTCTTTTTTTTTAATGTATATTTTTTTGAACATTTACTGTAGCAGTGGTTAGCTTTTGTAGTTCATATTATTAAAACGTGCCACAAAAGTGAGTTTTTGAATAATGAACGTTTTTATGTATTTTTTTAAATACTGTCATATAATATGCACCATAGCAGTCAGTGCATTCAGAAGTGTTCAGCCACGATGCATTGATGAAAACGTGCCCACTGACCATTTGATTTTGCTTCCATTTTTGCTAAGTGGCACTAAAACGTAACAAAAGTGAAGGTTTTGAACTCACCGTTTCAAAATCGGATGACTCCTTCTTTCCCAGGAAGAGTTTGTGGCACAAATGTGTGACATCACCTCCGAGCGGCTCATTTCTTGAATCAAACAACATTCCTGGAAAATGGCATGGTGAAATTAGTGACACACCTATTCAACCAAATCGCAGTCAAGGCATGTAATTGCAGGTAATTGCTGTCAATACAATTATCGTGTGGCTCATACGAAATGTTCTTTTGGGCTCAGTATCAAAAATAATAAATACACCATCGGAGAGATAAAAGTACCAGGGCACATTTTTACCATCATGTCCAAAGTGGTACAGTTTGCTCATGCATGTTTTTTTTTTTTTCTTTTCCATGGTCAAAGATTATACACCAGATATGATAAGATTCGTGGCACCCTTCTGTTGGGGTGCTACGGTACCCAAATTGTACCATTACTGGCACTCTACTGTTTGGATCCCAAATACTTGCATCCGTACCGCGATTTGTCTTTCCTTGTCCAGTCTGCGGTCGGGTCGTGAACCCTTCCGCCACTGCTCAATGTTATCACGTCTACGTGCCGTCTAGACTCGGTGAAGGAACATAAAGGTGAGTAACAAGATGCGCACTTCCTGTGCACGTGATTGACTGAGCCAACATACAAATTGGATGCAGGCCGGCGGTCTTAACGGACACCAGATGGCGAGTGGAGGACAGCACAGTAAATGCAATGAGAGACCCCTGGCAGCCAGACGCGGGGTCCCTGTACATGCTTATCCGTCCTATTAGTGCACGCCTCTCTGAGACTGTAATAGATCAAGGAGCGTCTTGACACTTAATCAATGACCCACTTTTGTCAGGGAAAGCCTTGCATCGCTCCATGCGTGTGACACGGAAAGGCCGACAAGCCGCATTAAGGAGCAGCAACGCTGCAAAAAGGGCAACACTCTTCGCCGCATGTGCGATTTATCAGAACCGACTTCATGTTTCTGAGATGAATTGCGGTCTTGAGTCATGCTTGTTATCAGATTACACTTCCTTTGTTCCTGACCGGCCCTCACAAGGATCATGACATTGAAATGAATACATGATTTATTTTTTTTCATGCCATTTGTTTCAGTGAATGCTACATGCTGCTTGATTGATTTTACCAATCGAATATTTGAATATTTATAGTAGTTTCTATGTAGTCATTTTTCAAACTTAAAATCACTTGATAGTAGGGACTGACAGATAAATTCGCTGGCCGATTTAATCCGCTGGCCGATTTAATTTATTTATTGACACGTAGACCATAAGACAAAAATAACGGCATTTAAAGTCCCCCGCCCAAATAGCACACTCCAGATATCATCAATTGAAAGCATCATATGGCATATCAAGTAGGTAAACACTCATGCTCATTGTGACAAAACATGAGTGACGTATTGAAGGGTCAGAGATCCTCACGGCAAGTTCCAAATAAAAAGCAGCACACCTAAGAACATCAGGTTTGGATGTGTGCACTTTGCCAAGACGTGCGTATCCTCCTGTGGGAGAAACTATGCAGTGAAAATGTTACTCCCAGACACACACACACACACACATGATAGGGGAGTTTTTGCAAATGTTACTCCCAGACACACACACACACACACACACATGATAGGGGAGTTTTTGTACTGCTGGAATGTTGCTGCTGGCCAGATAAGGCTGTGGAAAAAAATACTTTTCCATTTGAAACACATTTTTTAAAAACCCTCATGACAGACTGTTGTTCTGTGGTGTTAATGATGCTGCTCATACACAGTGGCTCAGAGAAATTGAGCTACTGAACATTTAAAAGGCTAACTGAACATATATATATATATATATATATAGAGAGAGAGAGAGAGAGAGAGAGAGAGAGAGAGAGGCTAGGGAATTTTTGGATGAGTTGGAAGGTGGGGTACACCCTGAATTGGTTGCCAGCCAGTTGTTGTGAATTGTGTTTCTTGAACACACACCGAGTGGGAACCGCGCCGACGCTGCCCGCATTCAAGTCAGGCGAGTGCACCACAACACCATCAGCAACTGCTTTTCTTTTGTGAAATATAAAATACAGAGCGCACCAGTAGCTCTATTTCATGATTGTGGTTTATATTAGCCTGCCAAATGTCGGTATGTCTGGTTCTATTTTACTTTCCACCAGGCTTAGAGGTTGCACACAGATGTTGATTTACTGGAGGCAACTAACAGTGAAAATGAGCCGTGGTCGGGAAGATGGGCTCCGAGCATCCTGCTGATCTTTGTCCTTGTAAGGAGACTCCACATAGACAAGTCCTCACATAGTCACAAAGCACCGCTGAAAGGGTGACAACTCAACAAACTTTGTTCTGATGATGCAGGTCACTCTGAGTTCCACCCGCCAAGCAGGGTCTTCTTTCAACCCTGAAAATTCCAATGAAACTGATGTCAGGCAAGAGTTCTCATGGATCAGACACGCAATGGTCCACAATGGTGTTGAGCAAGAGACGCAAAATACTGTATATGAACAAAACATGAGTAATGGTTGCTCTGGGTTCAGTCATAACTTCCTCTTTATCAAGCCCACGAGACTTGAATGGCAAAATACGTGTGATTCAGACACTAACAAAATGACACCAAAACAGTTCTATAAGATATCCTTTATTTGTCCCACAATGGGGAAATTTACATATTACATATACATAAGAGTAATGACTTACTTATAAACCTGACCCAAAGGAATGTACGACGCCTGACAAACAGGAGCTCGCTAAATTAAACTAAAATTGAGGCCCCTTTGACAACACTACTAGGAACCTCTTGGTACATTAGTTCCTGGAAGTTAAATGTTCACGTGGCCACTGTTGTGTTCACATAGAATGCTGGGGTCTCTGAAAGGTTGATGTCGTGTATAAATCATCCAGAACACGTTTCCAGGAACTAAAATGAGAAGCGGTTCCCACTCTCTCATCGTGCGAGATTCCTCTAAAATTCAGAGCTCTGGGGAGGATTCCAGCAGTCAAACTCGATAGGTCCATGACTGATAAATGAAATATGAAACAGCTTCAGATTTATTGGCACCTGTTGCCTTTCGCTCTGTCCATCGATCGTTTGAACTGCGCTTCTTGGGGATCACAGACAGGATTAAAAATCAAGATGTTGGCTTTGTTGCCTTGTGATGTCTTGAACTCCCCAGACCTGAGCCAAAGTCCTGAGGCAGACTGAAGGAGGGAGGGTGGTGGTTTTTGTGGGCTCCCTAAAGCGGCACTGCCAGCATTTTTTTTTTTTTTTTTAAGAAAGCTTCACACTCTGCCAAGGAAGATTTCTCTTTAATTAGACAGAGCACATTGAAATGAGAACAAGGCGAAGTTTTGTTGAGAAAGTGAAAAGCCACTGACGCATCTTGTGTGGCCAAAAGTGACTTCCCAGCATGCCGTTGTCGTCTCTGCATGGCCAAATAGCTTTGGGTTTGTTCTCGAATTCAATGGTGGTCTTCAGAACATACCGTTGCTGTTTTTAAATGGATAATTTTCACCGGATGATACTGTTTGAATCGATACATATTTTATTGTGGTGCCATTCGTGAAGTTAGGAATGACATCAGAACTCACGCCAGATGCAGTACAATACAAATTGTCAAAGCGCCACTTTGCAGAGTTCATACAGTTCATACCTCCCACATCGGCCGATAGACCGGAAATCAGAAAGAGACACGCACGCACAAGTCAGTCAGACAATATTAGAAGGGTTATAAAACCAGGTTATTTATACATTGACTGCTCTGTATTAATTATAAATTCATACTGGACCAATAATACCCTTCCTGGGTTTCCATATCTGTGCATCATAACTCATGGTCACGTGTGACCTACTGTACGCCACTGGCTCAGTGAAGCCTTTGTCCATTCTCAACCTCTACATCTTTGTGTGTGACTCAGCCTGTGAGCTCACATCACACAGCGTTGTAATATGATGCAGCCCACTGCCTAAAAGCCACAAGTATGCCAGAGGGTATGGCCGCCGTGCTGCAGTTGATGAGTGATAGGACGTGTCAACGGAGGGGGAAAGAAACAAGTGCTGCCAATTTTAGCACGCAGCCACCATGAGGTCTGCAGCGTTATTTTTAGGGACAGTGTAAGTGTCGGTCAATGTCTCATAAAGAATGGACTGCAGTTTGAAAGCAACCTGCTGCCCTCAAAGCATTTACTGCTTGTAGTAGGTAAGTAGGGTAATAAAGTACCCTACGTCTTTAACGACTCTTCGTGTTATGGTAGACTGACATGTGGTCACTCTACAATGTTGTGCGGGTCCAAGTTGATTTTTTCGAGGAGACATACAAATTTTGACATTTCGTTTCCAACTCCAGTTTCACTTGAGATAACCCGCAAAAGAAAAAAAAAAAAAAAAGCTTTTTTTGGGTGTAGGTAAAACTGTTAACACGCCTCCCCAAACAGCAGTTGATTCGATAAATGCCCGAAGCAACTATTTGCAGATGGTCTACAATTTGGCAGTCCTAAAGATTGTACGAAATGTAAAGTGTTCCTTCTAAAAATCAACATTTCAGTTACCTTTAGCATGCTAATCTAGAAGAATCTACATCTAATTGTTGACTCCCTTGGAAACCATGATGTGATCATTTTAAATATCCATCCATTCATTTTCTTCCACGTATCCAAGGTCAGGTCGCAGAGGCAGCAGCTTTTGCAGGGAAGCTCAGATTTCCTCTTCTTAACCACTTGGTGAACCTCTTCCAGGGGCTCCAGAGGCCTTTAGGCCAGCTGGGACACAGTAACCTAGGTTGTCCCCGCCATAAAGCCCCAGACAACTTAGCTCTTCATTTGGACGGCTCAAGAAGGGGATCATTTTAAATCAAATTACACTGTTTAATTAGTTCAATTTTTTGTAGTTGAGCTAGCACAAAAGGAATTGGGTGTGTTTAAGGCTCAAATATGCCCATGCAAACGTTCACGCTTTCACACAAAAACAGTTGTTGTGAAAAGCTTTAAATCTCCTTCATTAAAGCTGTGGGGTGTGTCGAAGGTATTGTGTAATCAGAGACCACAGTATTAACTTGACATTACCTCTGTCTCATCGCCCTCAGGGAACCCTGCCCTTGACCCACCTTTGTATTGTGTTCATAGATGGCAAGAGGAACTGTCCAAACGTGAACAGCTGGAGTCTGCGGTGGAATCCCTGCACCAGGTTGGAAAAGAAAGGTTTTATTCCACAAGCATATCTATGCACGAACATAAGAAGTTCACTGTTAAAAGTCTGGGACTAATCCATGAAACAGAACTCCATAAAACTTGAAGAATGAACAAAGAAAAAATATTAAGTGTGTTCCTTACATTGTGGCGAATGGCAATTTGGGCTATCAGTAGTGAGCTCTGACAAGAATGACATTAAACAACAATCATAAGTTAGCTAGCAGGCTACTTCTTGGTTCATAAAGAATGACGCTAGAATCACCAAATGCTAACATTTCACAGTGACAAAAAGTGAAAATTAATCCCTTAATCAAAAGTGGGAAAAGATGTGGAGCTGTGCAAACGTTCACGCTTTCACACAAGAACAGTTGTTGTGAAAAGCTTAAAATCTCCTTCATTAAAGCAGTGGGGTGTGTCGAAGGTATTGTGTAATCAGAGACCGCAGTATTAACTCGACATTAGCTCTGTCTCATCGCCCTCGGGGAACCCTGCCCTTGACCCACCTTTGTATTGTGTTCATAGATGGCAAGAGGAACTGTCCAAACGTGAGCAGCTGGAGTCTGCGGTGGAATCCCTGCACCAGGTTGGAAAAGTTTTATTCCACAAGCATATCTATGCACGAACATAAGAAGTTCACTGTTAAAAGTCTGGGACTAATCCATGAAACAGAACTCCATAAAACTTGAAGAATGAACAAAGAAAAAATATTAAGTGTGTTCCTTACATTGTGGCGAATGGCAATTTGGGCTATCAGTAGTGAGCTCTGACAAGAATGACATTAAACAACAATCATAAGTTAGCTAGCAGGCTACTTCTTGGTTCATAAAGAATGACGCTAGAATCACCAAATGCTAACATTTCACAGTGACAAAAAGTGAAAATTAATCCCTTAATCAAAAGTGGGAAACGATGTGGAGCTCCATATTTTTTGTTAGTCAGCAGCCTGTCATAGTCGGATAGCGCTAGATTAGCTAAATGCTAACATTTGGATGGCAACAAACAAAAATAAATCTCTTGAACAACAGCAGAAAAAGTCTAAATGTGCTAGCAGGTTACTTCCTGACTGAGAAATGGGATGGGTAAAAAAAACAAAACATATTCCTCTATTTTTATCTCGTTTAACATGCTCTCTCTCTCGGTACATGTGGCACCACTCCATAAGGTTTCACAGAAATAAAAAAAAAAAAAGTAAGGTAAACACACCTGGAGGCAAAGATCCCGGTCCCGAAGAGGCAGTTAGCATGATGACCTCTTTTTGCATTTGCTCCCATCGATTGCGCATGTTTGGATTGGTGGTCAGCAAAAAAAGAGGTGGAGTGGCATCCCACGGGGGCAATAACCTTTTAGCACACAGAATGATGCGTTGCTATATGGCAGACCTGGTCAAGCACATTCAGCGCAATGACTCCAATGGTAGCAAATGGCGGATCAGCAACAGCAGTGTCACAGTACCAACCTCTGGTAGAATACACTTGACTCAAATTGTTTATGGTAGCACCGTACCATCGTCCATTGTCAAAATACTGTAATGAATGATGACAATGAGTCTTACAGTATTGAGCTGTACAACATCAGACAGTCTGTACACAACAGTGTGGTTCATTTGGCCTTGTTTATCTCATTTTGATTCCCTGGTGTCCACTCAGCGCGCCAAAGAGTCAAAAACAAAAAAAATTCCTCTATTTTTATCTCGTTTAACATGCTCTCTCTCTCTTGGTACAAGTGGCACCACTCCATAAGGTTCCATAAGGTTTCACAGAAATAAAAAAAATAAATAAATAAGGTAAACACACCTGGAGGCAAAGATCCCAGTCCCGAAGAGGCAGTTAGCATGGTGACCTCTTTTTGCATTTGCTCCCATCGATTGTGCATGTTTGGATTGGTGGTCAGCAAAAAAAGAGGTGGAGTGGCATCCCACGGGGGCAATAACCTTTTAGCACACAGAATGATGCGTTGCTATATGGCAGACCTGGTCAAGCACATTCAGCGCAATGACTCCAATGGTAGCAAATGGCGGATCAGCAACAGCAGTGTCACAGTACCAACCTCTGGTAGAATACACTTGACTCAAATTGTTTATGGTAGCACCGTACCATCGTCCATTGTCAAAATACTGTAATGAATGATGACAATGAGTCTTACAGTATTGAGCTGTACAACATCAGACAGTCTGTACACAACAGTGTGGTTCATTTGGCCTTGTTTATCTCATTTTGATTCCCTGGTGTCCACTCAGCGCGCCAAAGAGTCATCCGAGATCCAGGATGACCTGAATGACAAAGTGGAGAGACTAAAGGCGGAACTGGTGGTCTTCAAGAGCCTCATGAGCGACGTAAGCACCCGCAATCTGATTAAACCGTCACACCCGTACTGCTGTTGTTGCCCCACACACACACACGGTGCTCAACTGGGAAACCCTTCCGTCCTCAGAAGAATGTGGAGGCAAAAATCCAAGAAATGTTCCATTGAAAAAGAAGTGATGTAGATCTCCAAAGCCCTTTTCCTGTCCTGTGTAGCGCTTGTATTGTTCCTTGCCAGCTGTGCTTCCCAGTGAGATAAAAGATTGAAGTACTGCAGTGGGCCGCTCCCAGTGTGTGCTTGCTCAGGGATAAATAGGCCTAAAAGCTTTCCTTGTTCATCCTGCTTTGTTGTTTGAGGCTTTTATTAATAAATATATTTATATATTTTCTGTGCTTTTCAAAATTCTACATGTCCAAATCCAGAGACGGGTAAGTGGTATGGAAGCAGTAGGTCATGTTGTTGTAGAGGTCTTGTCTGGACTGATTTGTAGACGTGGTCTCAATCATTGGTGGTCGTGTTCGAAATGTTTTGTGTCTAAAAAAAACTAACTCAATCAACTTTGCATGAAATATACCCCTATGCTATCCAGTGTGACCAATCAAACATCTTCTAAACCAAATACATTTGGTGCTGTTTGTCAAGTATCACACCAGTACTGCTGTTGTTGCCCCACACACACACACACGGCGCTCAACTGGGAAACCCTTCCGTCCTCAGAAGAATGTGGAGGCAAAAATCCAAGAAATGTTCCATTGAAAAAGAAGTGATGTAGATCTCCAAAGCCCTTTTCCTGTCCTGTGTAGCGCTTGTATTGTTCCTTGCCAGCTGTGCTTCCCAGTGAGATAAAAGATTGAAGTACTGCAGTGGGCCGCTCCCAGTGTGTGCTTGCTCAGGGATAAATAGGCCTAAAAGCTTTCCTTGTTCATCCTGCTTTGTTGTTTGAGGCTTTTATTAATAAATATATTTATATATTTTCTGTGCTTTTCAAAATTCTACATGTCCAAATCCAGAGACGGGTAAGTGGTATGGAAGCAGTAGGTCATGTTGTTGTAGAGGTCTTGTCTGGACTGATTTGTAGACGTGGTCTCAATCACTGGTGGTCGTGTTCGAGATGTTTTGTGTCTAAAAAAAAACTAACTCAATCAACTTTGCATGAAATATACCCCTATGCTATCCAGTGTGACCAATCAAACCTCTTCTAAACCAAATACATTTGGTGCTGTTTGTCAAGTTAAATTTAAAAAAAAAATCTAAACCAAATGATCGGGCTTCCACATCTCTTGTTTTCATGGCAAATTCTCAATATCAGCTGTCTCCAAATGTTTTCCTTAGAGGGCAGCACACAGAAAAATTAATTATTTGATTTGTATTTTCCAACAATTCCATTAGCCAATTATTTACTGTTTAAATATGAGGTATTTTTAAAAAATCTGCTTAATTCACAGCTTCTTCCAAAGGTAATAAAGCAAATAATTTAATATTTTTGGGGTGGCCTTCAGCTTTAGTTCCTCCTCAAATACTGTAGATATGTGCCCGCACTGAGCAGCAGCTGAAGTGTAGTGAGTTTTGATTTTTAAAACTTCACAAATTCAGACCCTGACACTGAGCAGAACGTGAAGCAAACCATTTGTGCACATGAAACATCTTTATTGACTGTGATGAAGAGAAATGTGCAATATTATTTGTGACTAGTTTGTTTGCATGGAAAAAAAAACGCTATAAAAAAAAATCAATTTAGTATTTAGTAGTTGTTATTTTTAGTGTTTTCTGCATGCCGCTAAAAAAATGAACCACTGCTCTAAATGATCATCAAAATTTTGACGCCATGCGCTTCTCACGTTAGATGGCATGGGCGCAAAACCTTGGTAAAATCTCTGTCGAGATGTAGCAATTCAACATACTTCATCGACAAATTACTACTTTCCTATGAGACGGGGCTTTGGCAACGGGTTGGGCAAATAGTTGGTCCCACAAAAAAACGCAAATTGGTGAATAGTCAAGTCAAAACAACTATACGGTATTTGTATAGCCCTGAATCACAAAAGAGTCTCAAAGGGCTTCACAAAATAGGCGGGGGTTCAGTGTACGCTTGTCTGAAACACTCACCCAATCTGCATTTGTGAATGTACCCATTTAGTCTTAAATACAGTGTATATTAAAAACAATCAAATGTATGTAGTGGACAAAGTACCATAGCTACCTCAATGAAGAGTCACTGTTTAATCATCCAACATTAAATGGAGTTCACACTATGTGTGTTCCTTCCCCATGTAGCAAATGTCTGACCTGGACTCCAAGATTCAGGAGAAAGCACGGCGGGTGGACATGGACATCTGCAGACGCATTGACATCACGGCCAAGCTGTGCGATGTGGCGCAGCAGCGCAACTCGGAAGACATGTCTAAGATGTTCAGCGCCAGCTCGCTTCCAGAGAGGGTGCGTATCCCGTAAAGAGCAACTCTATTGAAAACGGAATGACACCAAACATCAAAATGAAAACATTTTTGTTCAGCAACGCGGGACCCACGGGCACCAGGTAGCGCCACATATACCCTGCGGCCCTGTTCTTAATATCTCACGAGTGATGGGACATCATAATTTAGTTGCCAGGAAGATTGTAGAGAAACATTTTTGTTCACCAACGCGGGACCCACGGGCAACAGGTAGCGCCACATATACCCTGCGGTCCTGTTCTTAATAATTAGCTCACGAGTGATGGATGGGACATCATAATTTAGTTGCCAGGAAGATTGTAGAAGTCATCATACTTGCAGAAGTTCAAACAAATAGAGTTGCAAATTGGCATGTATCTGTCTCCTGTGTTGTTAAATTGGAGTATTGGTGATCATTATTGTGAAAAATTACACTTAATTAGTATTCACAAAGATGACTATCATTAATTATCAATAACATAATTCAAGGTAATTTGAGCAATTTTATTTCAGAAGCCCACATCAAATTGGTAATCCTTCACAGTCATGAGTGAGTGCCCAAGAAGTACAGTATAGCTCTCAATTTCAAATATATTGGTGACCTGCGGTCTCGGTGCTTTCTGTACTTGGATTGCTATCTTTCTGGCAAACAACTGTTGGTGTGTTAGCTTTTTATCAATTATCTTTAAAAAATTCTACATGACTTTCAGCTGTTGATTCGTTGTCTATATGCCTCAGTGCTTTTAAACTCACGATTGCTGTCTTGCTATATGTTAGCATATCAACTGTCGGCTAGTTAATATCTGATCAATTCTTATTGGAAAGTGCATCTAGCTAAAGGCTGACGTGTAAAATCCGAATCAGTCCGCCTCATTATGGTTTCTGCTCAGGTTAGCCTTTGTTAGCTTTTTAGTAAAGCAACCCTTCAGTTACCCCAATTTGATGCATGAAGTGTTGTTTATTCATGTTTTGGTGTGTTTTTAGCAGGGTGCCTCAGTGGGTTGCAAAAGGAAACAGCGTAAGGCACTGTCCGACGAAGACGTTTCCAACATGGATGCGGAGCCCAGCCCTCTGGAGGAGGACACCCTCAATATCACAGACGAGATGAAGCGCATGCTAAACCAGTTGTAAGCGTGACTTTCACATGCCCGCACCCACCACAGCCATGTTAACACCCCTGCACCAAGACAGTTGGTTTTGTGATGCACGGCGAATGGATTTGTTGATGATGGTCACTCAACTCTCTCTAGTGTCCACTTCGAGTATTGCACCTTCACTTGTCAACCTATTTCTTTCGTCATTGTTGATTCGAAGATCAAATCACTTGATTATCATTAAAATCCAGTTCTGAACTGTTATATCTTTAGTTAGTAATTTGGGGGAAATGAACACCCCTGCACCAAGGCAGTTGGTTTTGTGATGCACGACGAATGGATTTGTTGATGATGGTTACTCAACTCTCTCTAGTGTCCACTTCGAGTATTGCACCTTCACTTGTCAACCTATTTCTTTCGTCATTGTTGATTCGAAGATCAAATCACTTGATTATTGCCACAGTAAAATACTGTTCTTAACTGTTATATCTTTAGTTAGTAATTTGGGGGAAATTAATGAGGACTTCTAAACTCCTGTTTCAATGCCACGTTAAACTGAATACTGTCCAGGTCTGATTGGATGCACGCCCAAGATGACATCATCATTCTACTTCTTTAGACAGTGAAGTTGTTCATTGGAGATTAAAATTATCCAGAGGTGGAAATTTAAATGCCCTGCGACTGTATTAGAGGGCAGCACTTTGTGGTTAGCGCACCTTTCTCACGTTTTTTTGTGGTTCTCGGTTCAGCTTCTGCCTTCATGCGTGGAGTTTGCACAATGTATACATCCTTGCATGGGCTTTCTCAGGTTATTCGACCTTCTTCCCACATCTAAAAATCATGCATATTAGGTTCACTGAAGACTAAATCGTCTTTTGATGGACAGTATTTGCTCTGTAATTGGCCTGGCAAGCCGCTTTTCTCATCCAAAGTCACCTGGGATAGGCCTCAGGTCACCCGCAACTCTAATGGGCATGAGCACAAAAGAAAAGGGACCAGTGGCTAAGGATTGGATGTCATTAGATTGTGTGGATCTACCTATTATAGTGAATATAGAGATTAGAGTGAATATAGAGATTGATTCAGGTGATGTCCACAGACTTTTGAGCCAAAGCTGCAAAAGATGAAAAGTGTCTCCTGGCGGGTGTAATTTTGAACTTGATCACCTAGTCATGTGAACCACATTTTTTTTTTTTTTTGGACTGTTGTTGGGCGAATCAATGCTGAAAATAGACCAGGGCTCTCCTGGTTGACTCGTCTTTATGAATCACTAACATTTCTGTTTCTTCTTTGCATGCCATCTTTGCTTAACCTTGCATTACTAGTTTTCTCTCTCCTTCCTTTTTCCCCCCTCTTTTGTCTTCTCACTTCATCTTATGCAGACACTGTTCAGATAACTCCTCTGTTGCCAGGCGCGAGACGTTCGACCTGGACGACGACTGCGACAGTCTGACATGGGAGGAGAACGAGGAGACGCTGCTGCTGTGGGAGGACTTCACCAACTACAACGTGCCGTGCGGCGTCATGACAATGACGGCGGTACCGCCCTGTGCCATCGCGCTCCCGAATGACGGAGGCGGCGAGGGCACGGAACCAGTGAGTCCCTCCCCACTCTGTGGAAAGACAGACCGTGGATGATTGATCAGCCTAACCTCCCTGCTGTTCTCTCCAAGGACTCCCAGGACAAAAGTCTCGGAAGCCTCATCGATGAAACAGAGTCCCTTTTCAAGAACAGAGAGAAGGAATACCAGAAGACTATCGGACAGATCGAGGTACAGTGAAACCCCTTGCGTATTCACAATTTCAGAAACAGTATCCATGTTTTCGTGCTCATTCTAGAACGCTCGAAGATGCCAATGCCCCGGCCCATAGCAAAGTAGTAGTCAGGTGAAGCGATGCATCGCCATGTAGAGAATAGCATCTTTGTATGTGTGGGGAGGAGATAAGTTTCGCCAGAGTAGTTCGAGGAATTTAGTTTAAGCTGCACGTGCATGTGCATTTTTCCAAATCAAATCCTCTGAGACTTTTTAAGGGTTCTGCAACTAACGAGTATTTTAATAGCCGATTAACCTGTTGATTAATTGATTAATCACAGATTTAAAAAAAAACACTTTTCATCCCTTTGTTCGGAAATAGGACATTCAAGTTTATAATGTGGAAAAATGCACAGTCAAATTGTTTTTGATCCACTTTCTGGTTTGTTGGCTTTCCGCGATGGGCTCAGATGGAGTTGGCCACAGCCAAGAGTGACATGAACCGCCACTTGCACGAATACATGGAGATGTGCAGCATGAAGCGAGGCCTGGACGTGCAGATGGAGACTTGCCGGCGCATGATCAAAGGTGGCAGGAGCTCACCGTCGTTTAGCTCCGCGGCCAGCAGCGACTCAGGGAACACCGACGATATCCAGGACGAGATCTCGGACAAGGACGTCGATGCCGAAGTTCCCGTCAGTTGATGACCACTCGGGAACGTGGTGTGTTACAATAACCACCAAAAAGTTTTAAAATAAATAAATAAGCTCACGGAGGTCAGCTCAGAATTTTGGTGCTTTTGTAACTATTTGGGTTAGTCACTGGTCAGAGTTGTCAGAGAAAAGGGTGCTCTTTTCCTCTCTGGATATTTACGCGGATTCTAGGTCATTTTTGAAGTCTGCCCCGTTCATGTCACCTCCACTGAGAGGTCGCTGTTTTGTTAGTTTATGCCAACACACGTAACCAATTTCCGCCGCTCTTTTTGAAAAATTCAACAAGGTTGTGCCATGTCATGCCATAATAATACTGGCATCATTTTGCTCTGTGCAACAAAAGCAAATCTAAGTTCAAGAAAGGAAATCTACTCACCCTTGGAAGAGGCCTGGCAGTGACGTAAGAGAGAGGGAAAAGGAAAGTGTTAGTGACTGTCTCACAGTTTAGAAGTCTCCGGCTTGAATCTTTTAGTTTAGAGTTGACATGTTCTCTACATGCTGGCATTGGTTTTTCTAGGTACTCATCAGTCACGTTCGGCCAATTAGAGAAAAAAAAAGTGAAGTGTCCATAAGTGTGGATAACAGTATAAATGCTTGTTTGTATCCAGTGTATTAGTCCTGTGATTGGCTGTTGACCATTCCTGGGTAGTCAAACTGACAAATGGAGAGGGAACAAGGAGGATGATAGCCGTCACCTATTGGCGTTTTTGTAGGTGCTGCTGGAATTCGAATGTTTTTTGGTGGAGAAAAGCCTGAAAATGCTCAATGAGATGAAATCATGAGATTTGCCATCATCTCGTGTCGCATTCCATTGTACAACTTGAGAGGCGCTCAACTTTGTAGCTGTCACTGTTTTTCCAGTGCTAACGGCGCTAGTTTAGTGTCACAGCGTCCCTGAGCAGCCGCCACCATTTTGTACTGAAAGAAGGAAAGCCAGGCCTAAAGTTATGGAAGTGATTTGAAACCTGAAAGTGTCATGTCAGGGCTAAAGCACAACAAAAAAAGTAATTCAATAAAAATCCAAAAACGTATCAACTTGGTAGCGGTGGAAGATTTGAGTCGACTCTAGTTACCGTTTTGATGACTTAAAAACTAAACAGACTTGAGACTCAATTACAAAATGACTTAAGACCTGCTTGAGACATGAATGTTAAGATTTACGGCATGTGTGAACTCATCCCACCTCTGGAAATTTGAGGACGTATCGCCAACCGATATAATCCACTTTTAGACGTTACAGTCCACTTGCATCGGAGGCCAAAAAAGATCCACCACATGTCGCCGGTGAGAGACATATTTGGGATGTTCTAATCATGGAAGTTAGTTACGATTGTTATTGCCGGGATGTTTTGCTGCTGAAATGAGGGGAAAGAGCACAGCCTTTTTTATCTTTTGTTTTCATGCATCAGTGCACTACAGAAGTTCTATGCAATAGAGCTGGCCTTGCATATAGATGAGCTTCTTTTCTTTTTCTCTCCTAAAAACCAATACGATTAGCCTTCTAACCGATGCAGGTGTTTTTCTACAGCGCATAATGCTTTTCTTCAGGTTTGTCTGTGTGTGTCTTTCAGTAGCAGTTAAAGCATTTTTTCCTTTTTCATGCAAATAGGAAGCACATTGTTTGCATCCTGATGTAAAAAGCCTGTCCAGCCTTGTGCGCAGCACACTTATACATAATTCCAAAAGGAAAACATCCCCCCATGACACAAATTCAGAAGATGATTCAAGCCAAACAAAGCCCTTGAACCTCCAATGCAAAAACCAAAGGACATATTTCAAGCGGTCCCGTCCAAAATCGCCTTCATGTTGTTTTATTCTTGTGTTTTATTCCATTGCAATGTCAAGAGTTTGTGTGTACAGTACATTGCATACCCCAGAGGCCTTTTAGCTAAAACAGTGGACCCTCCAAAAAGTGGAACACAATCACGTGTTATTTGAAGATGGTTGACCTCCTTGTTGTCATTGCCAAATTTAAGCTGTTATTCAAGTAGAAAGACAAGTTAACCACACAGGACGAAAAGCAAAACTGCTCCAATTTTCGGAGTCTGGTTTGACATACCGGTAACTGAATTCCAGACTGTGCAACCTTCGTCGTGTTCTTCTTTCGAGATTCCACAATACGTTACATCACTTTTATTATTTTTCGGTGCTTACGCCATTAATTTAGCTTGAAGGTGAAACGACACTTGGGGACAGATATATTTTTTCCATGGCCTGTTTGTATTCTCGTGTATGAACTGAAATATCTTCCAATTAAGCAGAATGGAAACAAAATACTCTTTTCCCAGCGTGTTTGTGTTGGGGAGAAAGGAGTATTTATTTTGTAGCCTATTTTAGAAACTTGTGCTGTTTTAATCAAAATGGCATCGATGCTTATCATAGATTTGCAACATTTTTATTGTATTCATTTACTTTTGCCATAATGTGACAAAATGTAAGTCACCTATGGAGATAACTACCATGGATTATGTTGAAACGGGAGTGCGCATCACTTGCGGTATATACACTGTACATCATATACGTATTGTATATGTTGATGTATTCATTTATGAGTACGTTATAAATCTGATGCATTTTATTTAGTTTTTTATGTTCAATTGAAAATCAGCCTCTTTCGTAATAAGGCTGTTGCTTCATGAGTTTCGCATCAAAGCTGTGGAAATGTGTCACTGTTTAAACGTTCAAAAGCAGGGATGAGTGCTTGCGTTAACGACGTGCAAGGATGTGAATATTTCATACTAAAAAAGGTTTTTTATACTAGACTTTTTAAAAATGGTTGTTAGTGTGTGTGCCCATCAGCTTGTTTTTAAGTAGTATCTCCTTTGAATGACCTCTATGATGCAGGAGGTGGTAAAAGTTGCATTATTGGCCTTGTGAGGGAACATCTCGGTGTTCAACTTTGTTTCCATCCATGTGTATTATTATTATTTTTTTTGGTTTTTTTTTTTTCTTCTTTATTAAAAGGAGTATTAACATATTCATGTGGGTCTGGGGCAGAAATAATGAATGTAGTCATTGTAAACTGAATAAAGAGTGAGGGGGTAAAATTCTTGAACTCTTGTCCTATGTGTGTGTAAAATGGCTTCCTCATTGGAAACATTGACTGTACAGTTGATGTTTTAATGAACATTCTAATATTCCTGACTGGAATACAACACAGAGAACTAACTGCTGTTCCAAAATACAAAAAAAGTAATCTAAAACTACTCCGACTAGTGACAGAAAATGAAGCTTCCAATTTGCTTCATGTTACCAGTTGAATTTTTTTGACTCCTCGAGATGACACTGTCTGCTCAACATTGGTGTGAAAGTACATTGACTTGCCATTTGCCCTTTGTTTAAACTAACACCACCATCTGGACAAGTGAAAAAAAAAACAATTGGTTCATGAAGCACATTTGAAGCTTTATTTCCCCCATTACTATGTACTACCTTTGGAGACATGGAGAGGGAACAGGAATGTGTTTGCTAAGCATATGGTCACAGAGTGGCATTTGTGGTGAGGGTAACCGTCCCCCCCCTTAAATGAGTAAAAATTATCCCACCATGTTAAAGAGACAAAAGTAGTACAAAGTTATGGTTTGATGAAGAGTATTTAATGATTTAATAAAACCGCTTTAAAACAGTCAAGTAAACAATTCTGATGAAATGTCAAACAGATCGGGAATGCAAAAAAAAAAAAAAAAAAAAACCCAAACAAAAACAGTAACATTCCCCATTTTCACCGCTCTACCTTGAGGAACATCATCCGCTTGGCCACGGCAGCTTCACCGTGTTTCCTCTGGAGCCGCTGGAGGGCAGCAGAGTCGGCCGACAGCAGTAAGCGGTCATCTTGCCGGTCCCAAAGCGGTGCGCAGAAGGACATGGGATCAGAAAGCAGGCGCGAGGCGGCGGAGAGGTCACCGCTGGTCTTCAGCAAGGCTTTAACCACGGACACCAAATCCTAGCAGGTACATTATCAAATCATTAGGAGGTTGTGTTTGGTGAAATCAAAATATTTCGATCAAAACCATCTGGACAGACCAAGTTACATTTTAACATAGGAGCTGTTATTTGAGAGCAGCTTTCCAAGTCTTTATCCATTGAACTTGAGTTTTTGCAAAGTCTCTGCTGCAATTTATTTACAGGATATCAGAAAAGCCTTCCAAAGAGGCTGTTTGGGTATCAACTGCCTCCATCTCCATCAGATCTTTTGCTAATGCCTCCACCCCTCACAGACATTTTGCTTAAGGAGACTTCAAAGTTTCTCAGGAGGGTTAATCATATGGACAGGATGGGGGACTGCACGTAAGTTTTTCTCCATTTTTGCCTAAAGCAGCCCATGATGCAGAGACATTTCTTGCGGAGTCACATGGTACGTTGTCACGCAAAGAACATTTATAAAAATCTGAGAAAGCCGTAATTTGCAGAACAATTTGGAACATGGCGTAGTGGCCGTGACTTTACAGTTATAAGAAGGGCAACACTGTGTCAAAGAAACAACCATACTTGATACGGCACACCTGGTTTGTCTGCTTCATCAGTTCTCTGATACAACGCTTGTCCTCCTCAAATTGGGCACGCTCTGGAGGGATGACGTCTTTTTCCGGGGACTTGCCACCAACTTGGACTTTGGATGCCACTCCGAGAGCGCTGCTTGGTCGCGGAGACAGACGGCCCTCTGGCGGGGTCTTCTGTTCGCCGGGTTCTCGTTCAGGAAGGCGCGGATCGGCCCGGGCTGTAGAGATGGCCACGGAGGCCAATGGTTCCACCAGGGGGGTTTCGGACGCTGTTTCGAAAATATCCTCAACAGACTGAGGGATGGTGAGAGGACTTGTGATTCTTCTTGGCCCAAGTGGATCATCCCAGTGCTAATGAGTCCGGTTCACATTGATGGCAAAACATTGTCCTTTTTATGGCTGTTTATTGCACCGAACATATTTTCTGAAAATTAACAAGGACTTGACTACCTAACAAAACAGCATTTTGTTAACCAACTTGTATCATGTAAACAAAGAAAAGTGCATTTTGGGCTAAACTGTTCTTAACTTGGCAGTCACATTATGAAAGTGCTGTTTGATATCCCCTGAAGATGACTCAAGTACATACATTTATATTTTTGGCACTGGACAGCCCCCCCAAAAAAAATCGACATTTGTGCAATGTCAACAAAGAAAAACGAATCTTTGGCTCAACTGTGCTGAACGTGTAAGTTAGTATTATCAATGTGCCGTTAAACCTCCCCAAAGTTGTATAAAGTACATCTATCTATTTACCTCACTGGCACTGTCGCTGTCGCTCGAGACTGAAGTGGAGCTGGAGCTCCTCAAAAACTCCTTTGCGGCCCTCTCAATTATTCCCAGCTTCCTCCTGCTCTTCTTCTTCTTCCTCTCTGCTCGCTGTGGCTCAGACTCATCTGAAAACAAGAAAATGAAAAAATAAATTCAAGCTAAGAACTCGCATTTAGTCCTGCTTCAAATGTTGCTACAGTATGTATTACTCAAACAAGGGTTACGGTTATCCGGTTTTCAGAGAGTCTTACTCGGCTGGTTGACATGAGCAGGACCTGCTTGTGGTGAGGCAGCAGACTGCACGGCATCCTCTTGTCGAATCTCTGCTTCTTCTTTTTCTACGGCTGTTTCGTACTCTTCGGCAGCTTCGGTCTCTTCTTTTGCTCTCTTGGGAGGCGGCTCATGCTCTCCGGTCTCTTCTGGAAGAGAAGACGAGGCTGACCTGGTTCTCATGGGAGTAGGAGGGGAGGACGACAGTTGCCTGACTGAAGTTCTTGACGACGATGAGGATGTTAACGAGGGGAGCTTTCTGGTGTATGTTGCTTCCTCTTCCTCAGACTCTTCTAACCGTTTGCGCACTGAGCGGCGACGCACACACAAAGGCTGCACGTCATCATCACTTGTCGAGCCATTGCTTTGGGGCTCTTTTTGGGCTGGTTCTGTGCTTTCAGGTGCTTTTTCACTCTGAGGCGAGGTGTTTGCGGGTGGCTGGTCTGTTTCTGGTTTGGTGCTCTCCTCAGTCTCCAAAGCGTCGCACATTTCAGATTCAGCAATCATTGCTGGTTCGATTTCATCCTGTGGCGGGTTCAATATTTTCTCCTCTTGCTGGAGAGGGTTGGACATTTGAGCTTGGGCATCACCCGAAGATCCTTTTTCAGCGACAGGGAGCAGGTCAATCTGTAGACACGAAAGGGACCGCATTCATGAAGATTCCTAGAAACGTCTAGTGTGTAGAATTGAGTATAGATAAAAGCTGTCCCGAAAGAATCCCTTCAAAGTTGTGCTCATTTCAACCGTGTTTGAGTCTACTTCACACCTTGAGTCCAGTATGTATGGCAAGTGCAAGTGTTTTAATGCACACTCAGGATTGGAATACCACGCCCCCTGACATGCTTGGCTAATGTAAACTTGTCAGACGATTAATAATGTGATTGTTTTTTAACAGTAATTCTTAATAACAGCCACTGTGGATAGTAGAAACTAATAAAATGGTGAAAAATAATAATAGAAAAAAACTATGACATGCTTGATTACACAGGATCAAGGACTTATAAAAAAGAAGGAAGAACATTCTCTAGCCGCGTAAAAACTCTTCAAGATAAGGAGGTATCGCTCAATCAGTTAGGGCTGTGAATGTGGTGACCATACCTGTGTTTGACCATCAGCCGAGTTAGGCGATGGAGGGTCTTGTGGCTTCGAGTCCGTCTGAGGATCAGCAGCTTCGTCTTCAAAGTCGAGTCTGTCTGTCACTTCAGCTTTTTCGTTGTCCTGCACCCACATAAGACACCATATTGCAGGGCTATTCAACTACATCATGAAAATTGCCACAGTTTGAAAAAAATGTATGGGCCCAATGGCCGGACATATGCTGTGCCGTAATTAGAACTTGACACAAGTGGACATATTCTTAATTACAGTACTTTAAAGGGCTTTCACTTATCATAATGCAGCCAAAGACATTCAAATTCAGGTGCTTTAAATAAAGTTGTTTTAGTTTTACAGCATCTGGATTCAAAGTGGACACAAATGTGTATTTAGCATAGAGTACAAAAGTCATATCAAAGCAGCTGTGTAGGTAATCAAAATAAATTGAATGACATTTTAAGTACACCGTGTCGCTGGCGTCAGGCCGAAACATTGTCAAAATGTGGTAAATGTGTTTTGTTTTCCCTACAAATCTATATTATTGGTCAGTCCGTATGTGTGTGTGCTCTTTTTCTTACAAATTATTGACCACTCCAAACTGTACAAAATGACTTGCTCTTTTTGACGATGCAATGCGATTTTGGGGTGTTTTAAAAAGTGATGCTTTTGGAGGTGCAAGGATTCAGCCCAACGTCAGCGCTATGTAAAGCACAAACAAAAATATGCTGCAACATAGCAGTATTATAAGTAAAGTGAACGCTGTGTAGTAGGCGTTCCTTGACTGCAATGCAGCAGCACAGAGATGGTCATACTTATTGATGTATATAGAGTAAGTCTTATCGACATGCCTTCCAGGGCCAAGTCTGAGTGTAGTGCTTTGCCGCTCTCTGTTGGTAAGAGTGAAGAGGACAGTGTGTTGAAATAACCTGCGCGTCTTCTCCGGCTGCTTCTTCCACCCCGACGTCTTCGGTGTGTTTGTGAACCAGGTAATCTTTGTAACGGGCTTTCATTGACTGCCAACTGTGAGTGGTTACGCGCTCTTTTTCCATCTGCTGCCAGAGACGGTTGCCTTTAACTTCTGACTTTCGCAGGTGGACGTATTTCAGAATAGCGGCGTCTTCGCCGGGGTTGTACGCCTGCCTGCCTGATGGGAAGCAAACGGATTTGATCGCGGGATGCGCCATGCTGTGTCGTTCAGGCGTTTGTGACATGAGCATTATGTAAGGCCGTTTTTTTTTTCTTTTTAACAAGTTTGTGGTTAGCATTTGGCGTATACCTCCTGAATTACCGGGAGACATTCTCTTGCCCTCGTTAAATTTTGGAGAATGCTTTTGGCCTGTTCCGGCTTTCATTCTGTAGTCGTCGAGGTTCAGCTGCTCGTCTTTCTCCACACAGTCGTGGATGTACTGCATCGACACGTACCTAAAATAAAACACACACAGTGCCGGTAACAGCGAATAAAGGTTTGTGAAACATCTTTATCCTTGGGAGTGAGTGAACCAAGACCTGTCACAAATAGCAAACATTCACAAATAGTAAATGAATCCCCCCTGAAATGTTCACAATTGCCTGTAAAAATAGTGTCCACCACAAACTATGATCCCACAACACGTTAACATCATTTCAAACTGATTTTCCAACATAACCCTCAAAAATAAATGGCTGTTTTTTTTTAAAATGCATTGTAAGCGTAATGATGCTGCCATGGGTAAAAAAACACCCAATGCGCAAAGCTACCGACCTATTGGAATTCACTTCCAGAACATTGAGTCTGAATTTCAAAAGTTTCAACTTTTTGTCAAGCCCCCGTTACTGTTGTATATTTTGTAATAGGATTAAAAAAAAAAAAAAAAAAGAAACTGCAAAACATCAATTACACAACATAATCATTACTGGAACTCAATATTTTTTATTTTACATATTTATTGCAACAACCATTAGAGTGTAGTCATAAAATTAAAGCAAAAATATTTTTCCTTCACATCGGACTTTCTTCTGCTCTATGCTCTAACTATAATACATCCATCCATTTTCTGAAACATTCTTCCTCAGAGTTGTTAGAAAGAAAATTTGGTTCTTTCATTTTGTTCCCCATTCTTCACAAGTCAATACCAAGTGTACCAGGGAATGTGCAAAGCACAAACAGCAACGTTAAGGATATATACGGTATATATAATTTGCCATTCAGTAACGGATACAAGTTGTTGTTAGCCCAAAAATCGTGTCTGTGCATTGATTGATTGAAACTAGCAGCAATCGGGATGAGCCTCAATTCATTAGTTTTCAGCTAACCTCGTACTCGTGTGCTAGGTTCTGCATATCTTCCACAGTTTTTGTCCTGGGGCCACTGGCGGAAGCATTGGTTGCAATTATCTACCAAGTATTTCTGCTCGTTTTCAACCTTTTTGTGCAAAGTGACCTCTTCCTTTTTTTTTTAAATATCTGTTAACATTGTAAATTGCGACCATTATGAGGTTGCAATCAGACATTACCGGAACAAAATACGGGCAATCCGGAAGAGTTGGCAGCGCTGCATGACCATATTCATATTAGAAAGATTATTTCTATTTATTATTTTTAGTTGAGGTTTTCAGATTACAAATCACCTTCAGGTGAAAAACATTTATTTTGTTCTTATTTTATGGCCTGTATACTGTATCACAAAAACCTGCCATTGGAACAGGGGTGTGACTTTTCACAATCACTGTATACTTACCGATGTGCTGTGCTCTCATTAACCGCACCTTTTTCCTCAGGGTCAATAAGCAAAATGGATCCAGGCTTCTGGACATTGCACATGGTGCCTCCCCCAGCTGTGATGAGAGGCTGGAGCTCTTTCTTGATGGGGCCCGGGCGCAAATAGAAGGACATGGGCTCTCCTTCCACAGTCATGAAGAGAACCGGCGAGATGTTGCACTGGGTGACGTCTTGCCCTTTGGACGCCATCTTAGGAAACACAAACAGCCAAATGAAGAAGCTCAGGTGGTATTATGCTGTAGACCAGTGATTGCCAATCACTTTTACTTAGCTGTTGTGAAAATGATTGCTGTCCATGCCAGTGACGCAGTGACAGTCAGGACAATTAAATGCTTATGAAGGTCCGAGTATGAGTCATGGTAACAAGAAAGAATCAGCACAGTTGAAGTTAATCTTCGTGTGTGTCTTTCCTCAATTCCTGCGAGTATAACAACTTTGTGTTCAACAGAACACGACCCCAATTTCACACACACCAACTTCACACTAAGTACATATATTTTTAACAATTTATTTATTTTTTTAAACTAATTTATTTATATTGTGTATACATGAAAAATGCAATCTACATGTCTACGTATCATTGATGCGTATGATGGTGGAACTACCAAGTGGAGTAAACATTTTTCAGTGGCAAAGTTTGCAAAAACGTTCAAATGCTTGATAAAATGTAGGCCACTTTACTGAAAAGTGCTTTTGAAGATGTTAGAATTTTGCCTGTCAGCAACGACGCATAGTATTTATTTGAAAAAGTCCTGCAACTATACTCAGTACAGCAGCAAAAGAGGCCCCACAACTCACAATGAGTATAGTAAGTACATCTTGGAGTAAATATTGGCAAGATAGTCATTGTTGGTACAGAAGGGCACCACATTATCGCCTCGCCTATTTTTAATTTTTTTGTTTTTTCCTCCTTGACTACAAAAGGCGAGCTCAAACAGACGTTAGACCAATTTGGGATGACGTTTTCGACGCCAAATTCGCTTCAAAGAACCTACATTTCGTTGACACGCGACGAAACAAATTTCACCTGTTTAACGTATATATCTACTGTCAACTGAGTTGAACAAAAATAATCTTACATCTTGCTGAATCTGTATTTCTTTAGTTTATTTTACAAACTTACCATGCCGTCTATGCGATCGTGCTTCCCGCTCTACAGGACCATAACAAAACAGACTTCCGGGTGTGCCGACTGCTTTCGTTTCTTCTTTTTGCTTTTGCGCTTGGTATGCGGTTGAAGCATCATTACTGCCCCCTAACGTATTTTCTTGGATACAACATTAACTATTTTAAATGAGTGAACTCTCGCCCATTGTTCCAAACTTGCATTCTTAGCCTAATGTTTTCCCCAAAGTAGATAAATAGGTGAATAAGCAGGAACATGAAATGCATTTTTTTTTTGGGGGGGGGGGACGTTTTCTTTAAATGTCCATATGTGAATTGGGTGGTATTAATACAGACATTAAGGCAAGGCATTTCTATAGTGCCTTTAATATACACGTCAACTCAATGTCAAAGCCTTTGTGACGTGGCCGTGACGATGGGAACAGAAGTGTGCGTGTGTGCGTGTGTGCGCGCGTGTGTGTGTGTGTGTGTGTGTGTGTGTGTGTGTGTGTGTGCGCGCGTGTGTGTGTGTGTGTGTGTGTGTGTGTGTGTGTGTGTGTGTGTGTGTGTGTGTGTGTGTGTGTGTGTGTGTGTGTGTGTGTGTGTGTGTGTGTGCGCGTGAACTACATCACCCCCACTGCCTTGCCTCTTTCACTAGCCTCAAAGCAATATTATTATTGGCCTCTGTTGTCTGTCGCTCCCTCATTTCGAATCAGAGCAGCTAAAACAATACGACCACCATCGATCGAATGTTTCTATCATTTATTAAAAAAATAAATAAATGATATGTGCAACGACTTGAACGTGTTGGCTTACTTTGTTGACCAGCCTTATTCTGTCCACATTGTTATTTGCCTCTGTCCATCAACAGAGTACGAAGTCAGTGTTAAGTTTGGCTCTGAAAAACATAATTAACTACTCCTGCAGAGGGAGATATGACACCACTTTTCTGAACAGCAAACACATTTAAACGTCCGTCAAAGAAACGTTTAAAAAAAGAAAAAAAACACAGATCCATGAGTGTGGAAAACAAGGCAAGTAGCGATGCAGCTCATGCCATCGTCAAACACGAATCCCCCTATGCCCGCCTCGGAAAGGTAAATTTTACATACCAGTATTTCGGCAAATCTGCGTTTGCACTGCAGCTCTGCTTACCGTTTGCCTTTGACATGATAGTGCTTTGGTCGCTTAACTCTGGAACTTTGCCCAGCATATCTGCCTACCCACTGGTCGTTTAAATTTTGTGTGAGTGTGGTTAGTGTATTTCTTAGCTCCGCTGTCTGTTAGCGAGCTTACTTTTTGGTTCATGGAGGATGACGTCAACAGACCGTATCGTATTTTTTATTTTGTGGTGACTCAACTAGCTGGATGTAAAAATACAATCAAGTGACAAAAGAGGTGCACCATATTTGTGTTAGTTTGCTTGTTAGCAGGCTACCAGTTTTGATTCTAAAGAAAAGCAAAACAGTGAAACAAGAAAATACATTTTCAAACCAAAGTGTCAAAATCATGGAGGGACATTTTTTTTTAGGTTTGTCATATGTTTTTTACAAACAGGCTACTTGCTTGTTCATTGAGGAGGGTAAAAAAGATGGCAGAACCGTGGCCTACCAGTTCTGATTCTGTGCTGAAGGAAATCAAAACATGAAGTTTATATAGTCTGATTAACCAGTGGTCACATTCTTGTTATACATGTATGAGATAAAATGTTGCAAAATGGGCCAGTATTTTTTTTTCTTATGTGTGGGAGGGTCTGGAACGTAACTCCTGCGATAAATTGGGGTTCACTGAGCAGTATTTAGTTCCTCTTTTTATGATTTTATGGCTGTTAAGAATTGACCAGCTACCCAAGAGTACTCACACACAAAGTTGAGACACTTTGACTTGTGTGTTTTTTTTTTTTTTTTTTTTTTTACTTGTTATCTTGGTGGTTGTATTAAACCATAAAGGGGCTTGGAGGAATTCCTGTGGGTTTCCATGCAAAGGCCAAAAGAAACTGTGTTCAGAGGCCCGGTGACAGGTGTATTATTTCAGGAATGAGACTTGCAAAACAAAGGAGTGGAATTCCTTTTTGACACTAAAACAAAAGGCTGCGTTAAAGCAAAAGCTGCCTTTTCTTTCTGACGGAACTTCCTGGGCTAAATCTTCCACTCTATCTTTGGAGCGGGACGGAGATGGATGGCGCGGAGATGATTTGGCACATTGCCCTTCAGGAATCTTGGCAGCGCTCGGTCAGTAGAGACCAAGTTGTAACAAAGTGAGGATATGCTGAGTCGACGCATTTATAGAACCACCACCACCATCACCATCATCATCCTCCTCCATCCGAGAGGACCATCCGGCCCCTCGAGCGTGAATCCCCCGTCCTCTCCTGCCAATTCCAAAGGGTTATTTTCCTCTATGCTGCTTTCTCACGCCGCCATCTTCTCTCCCATGTGACAGCTTGAAAGCGCTCCTCCGGAAAAAAAAAAAAGAAAAACTACTGTTTGGCACAAAATGACACACATCAAACATCAGCACTTGGGAATAAAATGAGCGTCAAACAGGAGGGCGATGGAATTCTTCAGTCTTCATTCCCATAAATGTAATCCAACGAGAGCCGACACGAAAGAGGTATTCATTGGACCTCTACAATATATTTTGACCTTGTCATTTACTGTAGCTTAATAAAATGATGAAAGGTGGGAAAATGCGGTGATGAGTACCAAACAGGAAATGGAAAGTATTGCAACATCAGTAAGTCGTCGGCTCACCTTCCTTCCATATCACGTCAAAGGGTGAGTCATTTACTTTCTATTACTTTGTCTTATTACTTTTTCTTCTTTAATACTATTCCTCTGATGCGTCGTGCATTTTATTTTACAGTAATTCATTTACATGTAGGATTTCTAAATAAGGGTTGGCCACCTTTTAAATGTATTTGATATCAACATTTTAAAAGGTGTAATGCACAGATTCAATGTGTCTTTCTATCATCACACGTCATCTAAGTGAGTCCTTTTATTGTAATTTATCTTTATTTTCTCTTATGGGATTCCTCACGGTCCAATTTTAGGGCCTCTACCCTTCTCCTCGTATTTGGTATGAGAGTTACAAAGATTTAAAAGCTGGATGTATAGAGTAGACTCACCTCACTTAAGAGCAGTACGCTTGAATGTGTTGAGGGCATGTTAATATAGTCTTTTAATGGAACATGGTATATATATAATGATAAGGGTCTGTGTCAACTCATTGGTGTGTGGTCTTGTTGGAATGACCTCACAGCTTAATGTGAACGTCCTCAGTATGACCCTGACGGCATTCATGTGATCCACCCCAAACACGAGCACCTCACCTCTTCAGATGACGCATTAAAACCAGCAGAACAAAACGGGGGTGATGACGTAAACATCTGAATGGAGTTTTGAACTCCACAAAAAAAGGAGTGTTGCAATCACACCAACAGGGTGTGTGTGTGTGTGGGGGGGGGGGGTAGGTGCGTTTGCTCAGCGGCGCTGATGTCACCGCCGTAAAACACACTTCCAAGATTTGAAGCTCTTAGAGAAGCTCTCTATGGAAATGTTTTTTTTCTCCTCTTTTGCAATGTTCCACAGGAGACGCATGTGCAGAAGTTAGAAAATATCTTGATTTATTTACAGCGACCAATCAGATCCCTTTATCTGTGTTTCTATTTTCAAGAAAACATCACAACGATCGATTGATAAGGCACTGCTGCATTGACACGTGAGTCAAAATAATTAGAACAAACAACTGCATCCATACAAAGATAATAACCAATTGGAAGTACTCACAATATGTTTAATACAAATGTACAGTGGAACCTCCAAAGTTGAAACCCCAAATGTCAAACAAAAGAGTTCAAGCGGTCATCTTGTGCAAATCTCATGGGACTCCAGTTCAACCTAAAAGGCCATTTCACATTGCACTTAGTTTTCTTGGAGTTCGCCACGAGTCAGAGTGCGCAGACAACAGCACCCGGTGCAACCTTGCCCAAATTTGGAAGAGCTTATGTATCAGCCACCAAGGAAGTAACAGGGCAGCTTTCCCCACTGGCTGGTTGATTGCTGTTAGTTAGCACTTTGAAATCAATTTGCCAACCCCTCTAATCTCGGATGAATCTTCTGAAAAATGTTGGGCGCATGCCAACCTTGCGTGTCGCCATGTGAAAAACTTGTGAGTTGAGTCACTTGTATCGCAAAGCACCACTGTATGGATTTTCTTGCCCCTGGTGGCCAAGTATGAAATTGGGATTGTAAATACTGTTTAACGCTTTATATTCAATTTGATGATGTTACTACTGTATGCTTTTATATAGTACAATACTGTAGAGTGTGACCATAGAGGTAATTATAAACATATTTTATAATATAAGACGTATTTTTAGAGACAGGTACTTGAGTTTTTTTCACTATAAAATGATGGTTTTGAAATGAGAGCAACCATGAAGGTTCCACTGTACTCTGTGCTTAATACTTAATACTTAGTACTTAATGTACAGCGCAAAGGCACAATAGTGTCACGTTCATCTTGATTGTTCCTTGACAGCCGACACAGAAAATATGCGACAGCAACCAATCTGATTGTCTCGTCGTTCAGATGAAGCTGACAAGATGGCACCTTTCAGCTTGCCTTGGTGGGAATGGGAACAGGTGAGTTATGTATTTGATCCCGTGACATCGCTGAACATCCTGGACATTCTCATGCTTTGCGTGTGTGCGTGAAAGCACGTAGATAAGCCGCACGCAAACAAACACGTTGCGTGGCGTTCACAGTTACATTCGCCCTTCCAGGCGCAAGTCTGGCCATCCTGCCAATCAGAACTCTCTCGGGTCAGAATCCGAACTGCACGCTGTGGCTTTGCAAGCCGGAACCATGTGAGGGATGACTGTACACAGTCTAGACGAGGCGGGAACAGTCCTTCCCATTCCTCCTCGTCTCTTTCTCAATTGCCACTTGTTGCAACCTCCTCGCCTGTCCGCTGTGGTCTCATTTCTAATACAAGTCCTTCATGATCTCCTGCAGCAGCGGGTGCAGCAACATATCAACCTCGGTCTTTTTGAGCAGCTGAATGAGGTGCACGTGATCGGTGACGATCTGTCGCAGGTCGGTCATCTT